ATTTATTCCTGATTCTTGCCTTTGAGACCAAAATGCACTTTTTGCTCCATGAATACATTGCTACCAAATCTATCGTGCATCCCGCATCCGTGCACCACAGCGCCTAGTGTAACGAAGATGCTATGTCGTCCCTAATTTTTGCTCCTCCAGATTTCCCCGTCGGAAACCATCGTTTTGCCGCAAATTCTGAAAAAAATGGATCGAATGGCTTTAAAATTAGACCACTGGATAGCCATGAACAGGTCGAATCTAATGGTCTAGGAAAATCCTACATTCCTTCAATTCTTGGCCTCATTTTCAAGTTGCATTACCTGCGGGAATGTCAACGTCATGAACTCTTTAGTTTTAACTGGAGTTTCGGCCATAACGCTAAGCCACAAATGCCAAAATGTTTGTGGAAATCATAAATTTCTGATCGTTTAAGTATCAATTTTTAAGAGAATTCAGCCAAATGCAGGCCAAAAATTGAGGTTTTACTGATTACCTTTTTTTCGGAAATTGGCGACTCTTTGCTGCCACGTATTTCAAGGAAGGTTGAATACCAAAAAGGGATACCCTGTGCTTCTTTATACTAGCTAAATAATGGAGATGATGCATATGCACAAGAGTGTCTCTATAGTGAAGGTGTCATCCCAATCATGACTTTGGACCTGGGGGTAACGAGCGGTCTGTCTCCTCCCCTGCCTCTTTCTACGTTCCCCTACAAGTGAACGGTTCACGAGGAGCAGTCGGAGTTGTGCTCATTGGATGCTTATTTAACGGGTGGAGTGCGTTATCACTACCACGACACCACAAAACGTTGGTACTCCGAGACCTGAGCGCTTCCCAGTTTTGTGCGGGTGCTTTACCTCATTAGCTTGCTTACCAATTCATTATGGACGGGCAGACACTGATAGAACGATACACCAAGTTTGTGGTTCGTATAGGAGTACGATAATGACCAATAATATCGATTTGGCACCACTTGATCTAAGCTATTCTAGGCGATAATGTCATTAGGGAGGAGGAATTGAAATGAATGCCACTTTCAGTAATGAAATGAGTGAGCCACTTTCAGAACTTGGACTAAGACCGTAGAGAGGGGAGAGGATTCTGAGGGAGCACGTGAGCAACCTGTGTTTCCCCATCCCCTTTCCTCCCTCTATTGGGTTTACTCTATTGTCACCTGCCATTTTAAAATGTGTCGTTTTCCAAGTTGACTCCCACTAGGGCGCACTCTTTTCCTTTTTCTTCAGCGTTTGTTTCGCATTGGTTGCGGCGCCCGCTATTCTGATGTGGCTACGTGGCCTACTTTTCCAGTTATCCATGCCTGGTCGTGGTGAGATGCTACACACAAATTTAAAGGTCCTGTTGCAATCGTATCGAGCCACCCCCCCCGCCCCCTAATGACATCCAACACTCCTATTACCTGTATCGAATGAAACTGCCCGTCGCTGGGACTTGAACAATGGATAGTACTGCTAAATTAATTTTCACTCGTATTTATTCGCGTACACTTTTCCCTTCAGCGAATCATCTTAACTGCCCCCATACTCATAACGACATTACGGGTGTGGAATTGAGCAAACAACACAAAGAGGCCATGATAATAGCCTAAACAGTCTCAATTTCTCTTCGTCCGTTTTTCCCACCCGTCGTCTTCCAAACCTCTACCCTCCCCTCCTCCCGAAACATGGTGAGAACGCCTGAATGATCCACTTATGGTCAGTCTGCTAACCGAGTCGATGAGTAGGCAAAGGTTTCATGATGCCGTCAAGAGGTCGATCGCGCTCATTTGTCCGTTAGATACGGTTTTTGCTCGTTAAAACTCGTACGCTAGTCGCCTTTATGTCCATCAGAGCACAAATAAATACATCGAATCGTGTGTTACGACCGGGATGAATCTATTTTTTCAAGCCAATATCTGAATGAATTGCACGTTAAGGTCTCTTGCTGTTTGACGGCCATCGCCCGATACCGGTTTCCAACTTGAGCCACGTAATCCGCGTCTCATTTTTTAGGATATGACCGCCGACGAAGCGCCAAAAGACTGTGCAGTGTGCGGCAGAACCGTCTATCCTGTCGAACGCGTGTTCGCCAATAAGCAGCTTTATCACAATCAATGCTTCAAGTGTGCCAAGTGTGAGAAGAAATTAACGTAAGTTTCAGATTTTCGCCATATTTTTCTATATCTGAATAAATAAAGAACGGCATAGACTTCAGAAGAGAAGTTGAGGAGTAAGCGGTTAGCGCTACCACCCGAAAAACTGAAATGAAGTTATACACGGGTAAAGGGGGTCTCAGCAAAAAGTTAATCACACTTCTCCAATTCACCTGTAGCGATCCGGACTAGGATCGTGTCCTAGTCGTTTTGGTACACTTTGACAAAGTTTCCCGACCCCGCCTCCTTCACCTCAAGTTCCATATCACCCCCTTTCATCCTCACAGCTACTTCTTCCCAACAAAAAAACACCGCAGAAGGGCAAGGGGAGATATATACGCACACTGAAACGGCAAATTTTCTACCGCGCGCTCTCACCTCATCACATATACGGGGAAGGCCAGAAAGGCATTCAGAATCGCACTTCGGCCTTTTTTCCTTCGGCAGAGACTGCCGCAGTCTAATTCTGACGGGAGTCCAGCAAATATCTCTAAAATGTCTCTCTATATCGACCCCTCACTAAACCTCACCGTCTTCAGGATATGACGTCATCTATCACCGTCGTTGAACTCATTGAGGCCTACAGTAACTGCTTCATCCTGAAGCTAACAATTTTCTTGGATCGATTCAACGTGGGATAGTTTCCTAGGACATTAGCTCTAACTATGCAAACCCCCTCGGAACCCGCCCTTCGGAACCCGTCGTAACGGTACACGATCAGTCGAGAACCCCACTGAGCTCGACCAGAGCACCATGTTTCCGGGGCAAATTTTCCTGATGCCGTCCACGTAGATGGCCACTATGAAGATTTCTTATGAAATGAAATGCGCTCTTCAATTCTAAGTTGGGAGCACACGCTTTGAGCTGAACAAAGTGTGATTAATTCCGTTTGAGTCTGGAGACAAAATGTCTTTTTTTATTGCCCCCCTGTAATTTCGCGCTACCGAAACAATTACGACCCCCCGTTGTACTTTGTAGCAAGGTAGGGTTGACCCTGCTCCCGACTGGAAATATGAGAACATTTGAAAAAAAAAACCTCATACTAGCTTATTGTACTCACGACATCAATTGGATCTGCCACGGGAACATGGTTAACGGTTCGAGCTCAACGAGGCTTTCGACAGACTGTATCTCAATACAACTTTCTCCGAAGTCCGGGTCGAAAGGAGTCTTCCCAGATTAGAGTTACCGTCTCTGGAAAGCTTCCCCCTTGAATTGGTGGAACCAATACGGTAGCTGATCCAGGCTGGAGCGGCAATAGGCACCTTTGAGCTTGAGGTTGATGGCAGATGGAGTGATATTCTAAAGACGGTGAGTAGGAAGGAGGGCTTGCTTCAGCTTATGGAAGCACATTTGAGGAATGTTTCGCCTAGAATAGCTCCTGTAAAGTGAGCCAGACCATTGAAAGTCTCGCCTGCTTACTACCTTCTTCTGGAATAGTTAACGGCTACGCAGAGATATTTAGGCATTCATGCCCCTTCCAGAAGAGCCTTGGGTGGTAAAGATCATACGAAATACCAACGTTCAATGGAGCACAACCGAATCCCATTTTTTTAACAGAAGGACGAACGTTTGGTCCGCTCGCTGTTCTGCGTTCCGATCCTCGGATCGTTTTCAATTTCATTTTCGCGCATCATTAGCGTGAGGCCTAGGAATTAGTATCGGACACTGGGTGGATTGTCTGCAATCGCGCAATCCTTTCGATGAACACAGGCAAACTAGCGGACGAAGGTCAAGCGTCGTGCCACCGTAGTTCACAGAATTGTGGCTTCCACTCTCCCCAAATGGCTTTTTATCAGTCCTGTAAGGCCTTGGAACCGAACTTTCGCCAAACAAAGACACAAAATGCTTTTTGGGCCGAAATAAAAATGATTGCTAGTTCCAATAGCTTAGATAAGGGAAGGGTTGGGAGCCATCCCTAACTGCAGTTTCATCTACTTGCATGTCCAGAACGCCGGAAAGCGCTTCGAAACCTGCTTCACTGCCATGATTCCACTTTAGCTGTTGGAAACTTAAAATGGGCAATTGGCTTTACGAACATGTTCGTCTTTGTACCAGCCGGAAGGTGCATTTCAGACGAAACGTAGACCCATTTCTGGATCTTTTTTTCGTCCAGCAATCTATACCGGATTCTGCTTTGTTCAAAGGTATTCCCATCTCCATGTTTTGACTTTTCGGTGCGTTTTATTTTTCGGACCCAGTACGAATTATGCAGTGCGTTGAGAAATCGCTAACGGGAAGAAAAAAGTGGGAATGGAGTGGAGCTGGTTGGAAAATTCTCCCAACGACGGCCTACCGTGGTATGGTAGACAAATGAGTCGATTCGGGATCAATTACTGCTCAGCTTGCGGGGGTGGAAAGGGGGCGTGGCTGGTGTACGCAATTGGATTTGGCGTGGTTGGCGACGCGGCGGCTTCCTCTTGTGAAACATCGTCGCTGCCGACTGGCGGCTTCCGTTTCTGTTTTCATTCGTTGCTGTTTATCGAGGTTTCCTTTCTCGAGAATTCGTGGTTATCGTAGCACTACCCACTACCGTATTCGCGGTAATGCAAACAACCACCTGCAAAAGTCGTTACGCATTGCCAGCTATGCATGGGTGATTTAGTTACAAATTGCTTCCCACAAGCACGAATCTGTTATATAATCCGTCTCGATTGCGCGACGTATGCATTTTGAAGAAGCCGTGGAGCTCCCCGTGGCGTTGGGGTAGGCTTCCATGCATGTTTCTGGAGCCCTTTCACGAAAACAAATTGGTCACGAAGCGATGAATGCCTGGGTTTGGCCTTAGGCTCGAAATTGCTCGCGCAGTGGCCACGGGTGACTTGTCGCTTCCCCATCAACTTTTTCCCACAACTGAATTTTTTCTGCTCCTCGTTTTTCAAGCTCTTCTTCTCTGGATTCCTTACTGAACGAATGCAAACATGACTAATTAGAGGATCGGACACAGCGGCATTCTTCTCCATTAATTCGGTAGTCTTGAGAGCCCTGCCCCGCCAGGTGACATGAAAGGAATGGAAAAAATTGCGTCTCTTTTGGTGAACTTCCCAAAAACCTAGTAAGTCATTGTCTGTTTGAATTCCCGTCGTACGTTTATCACACATATTGGCCGCGGGAACGCTTGCACATGCTCCTTCGAATTCCACCACTACGAAATCTTTTGACCTTTCCATATATGCCACGCTAACATCCAACGACGTAAGTGAAAGCCTCTGGGGGGGGGGTAATCCTGTAGAAGTTACTCATACGTAGTGAAGCCTACGGAGGGAGACGTTCGGGAGCATACAATTAGGAATGGTTTACGACACAAATCCTTCTTTAATATAGGTACCGGATATCTTAGTGTCGCTTTTCTGAGTTCAGGAAGTTTTGGGGCCGATTACTATGGAAAATCAATATCCCAGAAGGCAGTTTTTGCTCATTAATATTGCGAAATATGTTGCTTATTGTCTTCTATTGTTGGTTCACAATTTAACTTTCCCCCAATTTTTATACTTTCTTCTGAAAATTCCTGGGTCCAGTGTGCAAATTCGCATGTGTGTACCAAATGCATCAAAATTCTTGCTGAGAGCTGTAACCTCCGCCCACCAAACCAGCATTGCATTTGATGGAGGGAATACTACCATTTAAAATGCTCATCGGTTTTTCACAGTTTTCTTAAAAGACAGTAAAGTCTTTGAAGGGATGCCCGCAACCGTCGCCAAAAAGGTGGTCCTAGCTAAATCAGTCAAAACGGGGCTGCACCAGTCTTGTGCTGGAATGGTAGGACACCCTAGCAGTTACTGATCGATGGTGCACAGACGCTCTAACGAAGTTGATTGACCAAGAAATTCTAATAAATGTGCTCATCTGCTACTCACGTGTGCTCAAAAAGGGTGCGTTTTTGACCCCATGTGGCAAAAAAGACTCCGGGAAAAATTGTCCAGTTGAGCTGGTAAGTAATAAATTTTCCACCAAACAGTGCAGACCCTACTCTAACTAAATGTATACATATTTTGTCCAGGCCCAACTGTTTAGCAAGGTAGAGGGATGATTTGTCAGATGATGTCAAATTCGACCTACCTCTCTTTTTCGTCTCAAAAAATTCCTAACTTTAATCGTACGAGGTTTTCACTCATACTGGTAAATGGGAAAGGGCTAATGAGTCATTCGATGGATATGCCGTTTCACTCACTGGATTTTGAATTAAAATATTGGTGGTCCGAAACTCGCGGTGAAAAAACGACACTAAGATATCCGGTACCTAATACTAATTCAGAAGTATGGTGATGACGCGATTCGAACTCAAAATGAAGAAGCAAAAGAAAAACCACAATTGAACCTTAAACAGCCGGTGCGTCGCGTGTGTGTGCTTGGTGTGCCGGTATTGGACGAGTATTTCTGGAATTGCTTTGCTCGTGGCTGTAACTAACCTGACATATCTGCTTAACGCTCACGCGTGACGTCCGTAATCCACGTTGCGTGTCACAGGGTATGCGCGAGGAATCTCGTCCATTTGCTCTCATTTACTCACAATCAGTTTGCTCTCTTTGTGAGGTCCTAGCGCCTTTTTCGCTCTTCTTGGAGTCGCAACGGCGGCACTTCTGCATATTCGTGGGCAACCATCCTACCCACAAAATAAATTGTTCCACACTACCTCACCTGGGTTTGTTGCTTCGAACGATCTTCTATGGAAGTTCAGGGAACCTAATCCTATTATTATTGTCCTATCTGTAGCCTTCTGTCCAGTGCTCACTGTGCTGTTTTCCGAAGTCCAGAAGGGTAGGTAGAGTTGTGTGTAACCGATTTCCTTTCACGAATGAGCCACAAATTCGGCCTTTATGAAAAACTGTGAACATATTTTAGCTCTTCCCTAGCAGCATTATTACACGTATTTTGCAAGCATTTGTCTAGACTATATTCACATTTAGTCTCCTTAGAGCTTGGCAAGCCAGTACGCAACCGTTGGCCTGGGCGAGATTTGGCCCTCGAGCCTTGCGCATGGTTGATGATGCCACTTGTCACTATAGCACTTCCGCCCTTGCTTATTACCTTTTTCATTTATTGCTTGAGACATTTGAGAGCCTAATTACCTAGTTAACGACAAGGTGACCGAAAAAAGTTAGCAATCACTTGTTAGGTCATTAAATCCTTCCGGGTTCTGTTTCTCTCTACCGTCAATTTCCCTGATTTATTGACAACCGAAGGAAAATATAATTATTTGTCAATTTCTGATTGGCTGTTTTCAGACCGACCAACTACAATTCACATCAAGGCGTACTACTGTGCAAGGTTCATATGCTTGAAGTGTTCCATCCGGAAATCGCAAAAACCATGGATCCAGCGAACACTGAGGGTGAGTGCGACTGAATGACCGGCGCGCATTCGCTGTGAGTGAATAGCCGCGATGAATAATGAAGGATCGCATGACTGAATGAATTAATTACTATCGACATCGCTTTTCAATTATGCGATAGAAGTGAGACGGTCTTCAAAAGGTCTGTGATGGCTGGAA